TCTTCCTTTTTTCTTTCTTTCTTTCGTTCGTTCTTTCTTTCAAAAATTGATCAACAGGCATAAAATAAATAGCAGATATTCTAAAATAATGAATTTATTTTAAAGGAATTTTTATTAAATTTCAAAATATTTATAAGAAATACTAATACACCAGGCTAATAAAAAATACAAAACACAAGGAAAAACTAACAATTTTGAGACAAAGATTACACACTATCACATCACATACCATCCCATCTATAAAGTACAACAGTATAAATGATCAAATTCATTTAACTCTATCTGTAACACTGTAAGCTATAGACTTGCCTTTTACTGCAAAGACAGCGTTTTCACGTGTTAGTACCATGGTAAAACAGTGTAAACAATAGTAGTGACATAAACAAATTAATAACCATCCCTAATTCAACACTATTGTGTAGTTGGACTAAATGTGCTTGATGGCATGTTTTTCTGTGGACTCTTACCTTTTAAAATAAACCGTGATGTACAGCAATGAACTCGTGTGTGTGTTGTTATTACATGATATGTACGCCATATCTAATAAGCGTTTTCTGCAAAACTTACACAAATTTAGCAAATACATTCTTTATAAGCTTTCCATTTAAAAACAACTAGCTGCAATGAGTGCTTAGTGGTTGTTTTTTATGATTACTCATGTTCTTTTTGGTGTAATCTATTCAAAAACATTGACATGTGGAAAAAGCGCCTCAGTGCGACCTCATCGGGTTCTGGGTAAAGGGTTAACAGCTAATGGCACAATCTCCTCTAAAGCCAGCACGTGTATACCTTCCTTTTATCTGGTCAATTAAGTCCATAAAATCTGGTGGAGAAAAGTTACTTCAAGGAAAAAACTTAGTGGTGAAAAGTGAAAAGTATTTATTTATTTATTTATTTATTTATTTATTTATTTATTTATTTATTTATTTATCGAAAAACTTAAAAGTTTGTATGTAAGTATCTTGAACTGGTTTATGAAAAGACCTACATCTAGCAAGTGGTTTGAGGAATGATCATTTAATTCTGATTAGAACTGAAATTGGTCAAACAATTTCTAAATACAAATAAATTCTAAACTTGCTCAAATAAATGTAGCTGCATTTTCATTTCATGTTTTTTATTTTATTTTTTTTTATTAACGTGCATACATTAAAAATGTAAACAGCGCAAGTCGGTGTAAAAAAGTAAGGTTTATTCTCGCATGTAATGCTATAATTTCTGCAAGACTCATAGGGCACTTTCATACACTCGGCGCAATAATGCCCAAGACCTGTTTGCTGCGATTTGTTGCTGTTTTCAGACCAGCTCAACCCTAAATTTCACGTTTTGCACCGCGTTGTTTAAATAATTTAAATTTATTTGTGCCACTTTGTGGACCCATGGGTGTGCCGGACTAGAAAGAAGACATATTGTTGGCGCGTTGCTATTTTGAGGAACTAAGATAGACCATGCCAATGACTAACTAAAAACTGCTCTAAATTCCAGTGCAGAGTGTGTTAGTTATGTGCCTATGCGGGTCCAAGCTTACACATTGCTTAATACACACAAAATGTACAGCAATACACAAATATCCTTACATACAAAAAAAAAAAAAATGTAAAGGATTAAAATGTTACAAAATTAATATTTTCTACATAAATGTAAAAAAAAACTCTACCTACATGCCTTCTTCATATCAGGGAGTTTTTTTCAGTTCATTCATGAACATTTGCATTTGTATAATGTTATTAATAGTAGTATAGTAGTTATTATATGCATATTTATTGCAATTGACTATTAAATGGAATTGGAGATGAGACTCTGACTGGTTTATTGCACATTATGCTCAAAACACGCCCATAACTAAGTAAGAGAATAAGCACAACCCTGTTAGACCATACCCTGAAGCACAGAGTGTATTTTTTCATCCTTAAAATAGCAAAAGTGGATTTGGACAAGCCCTTTTTCGGGCATGCGCTTTAGACTTTGTGCCTAGATTGTTAAAATAGTTGGCAGTAGCTATATATATATATATATATATATATATATATATATATATATATATATATATATATATATATATATATATATATATATATATATATATATA